TTTTTTTTTTTTAATGTTCAAGGCTGAATGATCCAAGGTTCATTACAAATGCATTTATAGCTTTTCTTCACGCCCCCAGCTATTCAGAAACCCCATAAAAAAGGAATATGTTTTGTTCTAGGAAAAAGGCTTTCACAGAAGTCTGGTTATATGTGAAAAAACAAGATAAGAGATAATGTGCTGATGAGAGCTGTATCAACAACTATTCAGAGACCAGCCTGATAACCAGGATTTCCAAGAATGTTCTTCAGGCCCCAAAGATGTCACCACTCTTCTACAACTCCCCCTCCACAGACACAGCCCACTCTGCGTAGGCTGAAAGCAAAGAGCCCTCAGGATTCGATCACAGGATGTCACTAGAGCAACATAAGCAGGCATTCACACACAGGACTGCATTTTCTGTGCAAAAGGAAAGAAACAGACATCCCGGCAGGAATTCCCTGTGTACAAACCATTCAGGTTGCTCATGAACCACTTTACAGGCGGGGAAGAAGAAGTCTGCGGACCCCAAAGCTGCTCCAAACACGCATTAGGAGACCCATTTCGTTCTCTTTTTCCACAGCAACTCGTGAGCTGATTACAGAGGCTGGGGCGCAGGCCCTTCTCAGAAGCTCCTATCGATAGGACGGGGTCGACACGCTTCAACCCTTTTGTCATTCTCCACATACACGCTCCAGGTAGCTGTGTACCTCCCTGCTCTGCACTGCGTGTGTGGGGCAAGTATAATGCCCCCCCGGGCGTCTCAGAGGGCTTCTACCTCTCTCGCCTCGTGGCTTCGCCTCACTCTTTTCTCTTTTCCAACCATCCTTTGCAGAAGCTCATGGGGAAAAGGGGAAAAGAGAGTTTGAGCAGATTTCCTGCCTTCTTCACAACCAGAAAGGGAGGAGCAAGCGCCGCAGCCATCTCAGTGTCCACATTCCTCCCCTCCTCTCATGACGTGAGCAGGGTGGCTGGAGTGGCCAGCTAGGAGTGACCCAGGCAAGCCTCCGTCAAGGTGCCCAGCTGCTCCACAGGGCGCTAAGAGAACCACTGGGTACCTCGAGCTCCTTGCACTGAAGGGCCAAACAACCAGGAAGGCTCGCTTACCCGCCTCGTTCTCTCCACATCTCCACAGGGGAGCCTCTTCACAAAGTCAATCCCCGTGAGAGGGGTTCCTGTGGGCGGCAGCAGAATGGAAGCATCCATCATCAAGTACTCCACATTCATGGGCTTCAGCTGGAAGAGGACATTCTACACTTAGCGTGCAACACAATTGTAAACTTAACATGCAAACCCCATCCGTCCTACCTCCTCCTCCCTGAGGAGACTATAATGGAAGTAAGACCAGCTTTCCAAAGAATTGGTTCCGGTCTTCCAGGCTGCGGCCAACATTCCCTCTGGCGTCTATCCACGGCTAGGGAGAGACACGGCCTCACACTGTTTGGTGCGTTTCCTCCCCCCACTTCTCAGAAGAGAGCTTAACAGGGTTGGATGGGGGAGGGCCACCCATTTTGCAGAGTGCCTGTTCGGGTTCATCCCTACTCCAGCTTCACCAACGTCCATCTTTCTCCCTGTTCAACTTTTTGCTGTTGGTATGCCCAACTGTTCCATTTATGCAACACTATGAATCTTTTACTGGTTATTTTATAGGTCTTTTTCAATTCTTTCTTCTCCTTCCATAAAAGATTACTGATAAACAACAACAATAAATAATACTTTTAAGTGAGGCTTGGTTTAAATGGTTTGCAACAACATTCCACGTTGCCACTTGGATATCAATCTGGTGATTTATTAATTACTTACGGTCATACTTCTATATTCATCTTCAAACATATCCAGAAAAATTTCTTCACCCTTTAAAGAAAATAAACGATTGCATTTTTTCCTGCATAAACATTCTTAGAGTGGTAATGTTTCTCATTTGACAATTGGGCTTAAATCAATTTACTTTCCACTAATCCACATTCTTCAAAACCTAGTTCTGCTCAAATAAGAAGAACTTGAAATTCTTCTTCAATCTGAAGAAATATTTATTTGGTGGCAAGGTCAAGCCACGCTAATTTGCCATGCCTGCACAACAGGGCACTTGCTTAATTGTGCAACTGCTTTTGAAGAATTTCTGCTGGGCTCCCGGGCCTTTTGTTTCCAATCAGTGAAGGACCAATTCAACTGCCTCATAAGAACCTCTCGCCAACTGAAGAACCACTTTTGTGAAGCAGAATCTCCACAAACAATATTGAAACCAGTTGATTAAAACCAGCTTTAAACACACTGGGACATCTGACATCAAGACAGCTTCTTGGGCAAGAGTTACAAAGTGTTTAAATCTTTATAGTGATGATCCACCAGCCTATGCCAGAAACAAACATTCACTGGGGCTATTTAAGTGATAGTCAAAGACTTATTCCATAGAGCTAATTCCACCTACTAGCTTGGAAACTGTGTTCTGCTCTATGCACACTTTGAAAAAAATCATCAACTGCAGTAACATCCCAAATTTGAAGTGACTCAGAGGCCTCAAATGAACTGAGCCACGCATATATTTATCTAAAAGTTCTCTTGAACGAGAGAGAAACGACCAAATGCCTGGGATTCGGTTGGAAGTATTTTTTCTGGAAACCTGTACAGTTCACACAAATATTCTTTGAAAGTCACACCTAGCTCCTTCAAATGTTTCCAGGATTCAATCTGGGAGAGTTAAAGATCAGGAGAATACCTTATAAAAGCGCCGCACCAGATGAACGCTTTCTTCTCTTGCCCCCTAAATAGAAAGAAAAATCATCAGTTCAAGGCACCAATGTTGAGGAATGGGCTACAGGATAACAGAAGTAATATACTGCCCCCCCCACATGCACTATTTGCAATAGACCTTTCTCCCTAAAACCCCGATTAAGAAAGGAAAACATGGATCATGATGCTCATTTGTAGGGATTATATAGGCTGGGAGAAAAGGGGCTGGCATGGATCAAACTGGGGGGAAAAAAATCAAAGGATCGAGCCTATTAAAAATTAATTGCTATCTGCAAGGATTGCAAATCAAAAGGAACACAGATGGCAGGTCAGAAAAGGGCCTCTCTTCCTAAGGATCCGGACAGTGGTGGCCAGGCAGAACAGAAACTCGGCTGGCGAGGGGGAGCAAAAGCTTAATTTGATGAGGGCACTTCCGAGGTTTCTGCACAGTGGCTGGCAACTCGTGATTCTCAGTGCCTCGCTATCCGGTATGCCCGCTGAAAAAGAAGGGACAGACTCCAGCCGCACTAAGAGTTCCTAGGGAGAGGTGATCATTCACACAGTTCTACAAATTACTTGGGAACAGGGATCAGACCAACCTAACATTTCCACAGGAGAAGCCACCACTGGGAGACACCAGATTTTTTTTCTTTTAAAAAGACTCACCTCCAAGCAAGCAAGGTGCACATCTTTTATGATGCTACCATGCTTGGTCAATACCAGCTGCTTCAACAGTAGGCAGCCGAGCTCCAAGGTGGCCAAACGAATTTTGCCGTCTGTAGTGGGGGGGGAGGGGGGACAGGGCAGGGTCAGAGTCAGAGTCAGAGTCAGACAAAACGTTGTGTGCTGCTGCCACTTTTTCCTGGCCAATCATTTCCATTAACAGTTTGGCACCTCTTCCTACCAATTCAAGTGGGGCAAGTTTAACACTTTCTGCCCCTGAAGACAGACACTTCAAGGAAAACTTGCTGAAAATTCCACCAGGCATCAAGAACCAGGTATTTTATTTAAAGGAAGAAAAGGGACAGTCCTTCTCTATCAAACCACTTTGCTGTGGGCTATTTTTTTTACTAGTCCAAGAGGTTAATAGCCTGTCTCTATGCTGATGTATGGAGGGAGGCTTTTCCCTTCTCTGCAACCAACTCTGAGCAGGCTAGTAGCTTTTATAAGCTACCATAGAATCGCCCATCAAAAACTGGGTCTGTTTACTGTCCCACAAGACACACTCTGCTTGAAATTACTGTATGCCCAACAAGACTTATGGGTTTATAATGAATCTCTCCCTATATCTTTAAACAGTTGCTTGCTGCTCTATACTTTTATTGGCATAAACTGCTCTGCGATCTCAGCTGGGAAGAAAAGTTGTATGTTTCCTTCTTCTTCAAAAATTTGTCTTAGACCACACAGAGCTGCCACGTTTCAGGACCGATGGGCATGAACAAACCCTCTACCTGGCTGGGCAGCATAGCTCATGATCCTGATGAGCCTTTCCGCAAGCCCGGGGTTGTATGAGATCTTCTCTTCAGCATCCTGGGCTGAGAGCTGAATCCTCTCCAGGGTGATCGGCTTGATTCCTTGGGAGAAACAGAAACTGAATGTTGCAACTACAACTTGGTTTGGCAAAGCATAATTCTGAGGAACTGCAAGCTACGCAGCTCAGCTTGTGGTACAGTTCATCAAAACTGCCTGCAAGAAGATTTGGAATGCTTAGGAAGCAAGAATTTATTTATTTCATTAGATTTGGGCACCACCCGACTCCAAGACGACTCTGGGCAGCTAATGAAGATGGTGATACAGTAGCCCCATTCACACAACATAAACAAATCAGCCCCTCTCTCCTATCAACTGAATTCATCTTTAGCTTCCCTACAACTCATGACCCTGTTAAGCATCTGAAAGTCTTGGGACCATGTAACTCTCTTTCTCAAGCAGCAGTTCAACCACCCACACTACTGGTCAATTCCTCCTGTCTCTCCTGACAATTTAAATGGCACCACTTGATATTTTTGATCCGGGGGGGCAGCGCTGATAAAACCAAAATCAACATCTTGAGAGTAATTTCAAACCTCCCTCTGAATGTGGTTCACACTTCCTTCATACAAGGGATGTTCTCACAAGCCACTCTGATACTCAAAAGATGATGCAGAAGCCAAGAGAACTGGCACACAGAGAACTTGTTCACCGAGGAGACACATGTTCCTGCCAATCTAGGTGCAAGACCCTCTCTGCTTATAGAATGGGGACCCAAGAATGAGGCAGAAAGGTCCATAACCTAGGACTTCAAGCAGTTGCTGGGGAAAACACAGATCTCAGCAGGTACACTGAGCCTGCTGAGATTAACACAACTGACTGGGGATGACTAGGAGCTGTAACCTCCCACACACGCAGGGCACCAGCCTAGGACTGTCGGCTTACTCATCACATCTGTATCCTTAGCCTTCCTAAAACCTTCCAGAGGTGTGGTCAGCTTCCTAACATATCCTCACAACAGCCTGGGAGATACACTGAGAGAGATGGGCTAGCCCAGGTCACCAAATGAGTCCCTTGATATCCGGATGCTGCAATCCAACCCAAAAGCTACACCGGCCGGTTTTTAACCAGCAACACCAGCATCTTGGCCACACGGGTAGGTCACAATCAGTACTTCCTTTTGCCCTCTCTTGCTACTAAAAGAACCCTCTGCGAAGAAGAAACACTGTGGGACAATTTAAAGACAGAGGGGAGTGGAGAGAAGAGAAACAGAAAGATACAAATAAACTTAATTTATTTATAGCCAAAAGGCCCAACAGGCCCCTAGTTGGTACCTGTACCTGAACTGTTATCAGTATGCAGTAGATACACGCGCACTGTGAAATGAAAAGCAGGTCCCCCGTAGTTGGGGGTTGAAAGGGACAGCTGAGATCAACAAAAACTAAAGATCTTTGTACTCACGAGCCCTGGAACTGAGAAGACCAATTAATGGATGCTGGTTTGAGCGTACAAGTTATTTAAAGCCACATAATACAGCAAGCTGTTCCTGTAATGCAGTGAGGTTATTTCTCAGAAAAGAATGCTTTGAAACAAGCTGTCCTCACTCAACAACACTTGTGTCAGTAATGACCTTTTGCCACGCGTTAAGGATAGTACACAAAAGTGCACTGGTGTCATTCTACACAAAGGGGAAACCTTTTTGTAATGAACACAGAATAGTTTGCAACTCTCCATTTCATATCAACCGGCCTTGAACTCCGTGGTCCAGAATTTCCAGTAGACCCATTTGTGACTAGCATTTAACAAATTCACTAACTCCAGCCTGAGGAGTTTAATCCTTTAATACCTGCTTGTAGCAGACTTCCTTGTTCAAGGCCTCTACAGGCCCCAGACTGCTTCTATCAGAGGGTGGAATCTCTTAGCAAGGAAGCCCTTGATTCTCTCCACCATGTTAATAACGCTCACACTCCCACGCCTAGAAGAGAAGGAGCCAGCTTTCAAATGCTCTCCCACAAAAGCTGCATCTCGGGGCAGGAGAAAGCAGTGGGCCACTATGAGCCGCTGAGCTTTTTATCTCTGCTCTCTTTATGAGCAGCAGTCTTTCAGTGATTCACCCAGACTAGCAGCGTGGCTCAAACACCCACCGCTTCCCCTCCAAAAATTTCACTTCTTCTGCTGATGCAAATCATGCAGACAGAACGATGGAGGAGGGGGGCTCGGCTGGAGTGCGATTCCACCCGCCAACGGAAGGGGTCAGAGCAGCGGAGCAGGGCTTGCGGGACAGCGGCTGCTTGGGCCCCTTGCTCTTAAATGGAGCATTCCAGCTCTGACGCCGACAGGAAAACACCCCCCGAGATACACGGCATCCACTTTGGAAATGCCCGTCCGCGTCGTCATTATTTAAAATGACACCCCAGTAGAATCTCTGCCCAGAACTCAAAGCCCAACGACAAAATGAATGGTACTTCACGCAGCCTTCCCCTCCGCTCATATATTTCAGGAGAAGGAGGTTCATTTCACAAGAACATAGAGATATCGGGAAGAAATACATCCACGCTGACTTTCTGGAAATCATCCATTCATGCCCAGACTTATATGGTATGCTGGGTGATTTGCACAAGAAAAAAACCCCCAAGTGATTCTGTAACTGCCCATGTGAATCAACAGGCAGGAGAAATGCCGACAAAAGCCTCCCACTCTTCACATCTTGGAGGGGGGTAACATGGACTGTTGAGTCTGCAGGGCCCCCCCCATTTCAGCCCATAAGCTCTTGTGAGAATGGCGAGCCTAAGAAGCTTCAGCCAAGCACGGAGGGAGGAAGCCAAAAGGATCGCAGCAAATGGCTTCTGAGCTGCCCCCAAAGCTCCAAAGGAGGTGGGCGTTTTTTCCCTTATGGACAACCGGCGGAGGGCACTTTCCTTGGCTTTCTCTCCCTCTTTCACTTCCCTCTTCCTTCCATCTATCGCCCTCTTCATCTAGCTCTAGTTCTGTATCCCAGCGTCGACTCCGGCTGATGCAAATCCACTCTCCTACCCAGAATCCAGACTGCCCTGAAGGAAATTCGCCTTCACACAGCCATTAACCAACAGCCAGCTCTTGAACAGCATCTCAGGGCACCACAGCTATAAGGGACAGGCCTGATTCAACTATTTGCCTACAAGCGAGGACAGCCAGATTGAAAAGCCCTGGGAACAGCCAACAGTCAGAAGGCCCACGCTTTACCTTTGTTGTGAGACATGGCGTACAGAAGACACAACACAAAAAGAGCATAGTAGTCAAACTCAGCACACTCCAGGGCGTTGTACACCATCTCCAGAAAAGGCCTGGGGGAAAAAAGAGGAAACGTTTAGAAAATCCATTTCTGGGTGTTCTGCCCTTTATTTTTATGCCTGATAACAAGATATCTGCAAGTGTGGGAGGGCTGGCCTGGGCCTGCATTATAATTAGCAAAAGGGTCCCTGAAGAGCTCTATCAAGGGATGAGTCCCTTTTCCTTGGGAGGTTTCCAGGCTGGGTAAAAGGGAAGGCTGGACTAACAGTGCACCGGGAGCAGTGCTTACAGCCGGGGTGCCACCCATTCTGTGGTTTGGGAAAAGGGTTTCATGTGATTGTGAAGGGCAAGGCTAGAACATCCAGAGTGGAGAAGGCTGAGCTGGGTGGCTCTGTGCTCCTCTGTCTCTGTCTCTGTCCTGGCTTCCCTCCCAACGCCCATGTCCACAGGAAACCACAGGACAGCAGAGACAACTCAAGGGTGTCCTATGGTTTCCTACAGGGCACGGATTTTTAAAAATTCCTTGCTTATGCAGCATAAGCATGTCTCAGATGGTGTGCTACAATACACACTAAACTGAAAAAAGGACTAATTCAGCAAGGAAACGGATCAGTCAGCTGTAAAACAGAGGAACAACCTCGAAGTGGGGGATTAGCTTGGCACCAGCAACGTGCAGATTGAAAGCTCTTGTCTAGCAAATGGGATAGCTGGTCCAGATGCTCCGACTGCAAGTGCCAGAAGTAACCTTCTTGAAGTGCACGTTATTCCTCACTGTTCTAGTCTGGAGACCAAGGGAGGAACAGCTACCAGTTGTTTGTCTCAGTGACTTGGAAAACGAAGGACTGTGTGCAAAACAATATCAGGCCTACCCTGTGAAAATACAGAGTTAGGGTTAACCCTAACCCAGGCAGGAGTTTGGAGAACGGAACCCTGGCCGGAGGAGGGAATGATGGCAAGACTGTGCAGTTGGAACGTGGCTCTTGCCTACCTGTTCCAATGGGGCATCTCAGAAGCGGCTGCGCTCTTCTCCTCATCTGTTATATTCTGCTCTGTGGCAGAAATTAATTTGCAGCGTTCCATGATCACCATCTCAATTTCTGAAGAGGAACAGAGAGCACAAGTTTTAGAGAGATGGGCTCGTTCAACAAACAGAAGCGAGTGGACATGGCCCATGGGCGGCTGGGATTCTGGGCAAACTAAATGGAATTAGTCATCAGGATCTGGTCTGCGTATTCTGAAAAAAAGAGCTCAGGGGATCCCTGCAAACAGATCGGGGGTGCCCCAAGTATGAAGAAATCCTGCTGGCCTGCCAACTGAAAACCAAGGGATTCTACTAAAACAGATTGTGTGGGAGCAGGGCCAGGTCTCCTATCAGAGCACCCACTAGCACGGCTGTCTCTTTTCCCCGCTGGCATGAAGAACGCTCCAAGCCCTCTGCAGCAGCAAGGGGGCCCTGCTTGGATCTCCGTACGGCAGCTGTGGAGCCAAGGAAGCAGGGCAGCGGGCAAGGCAGGCAAAGGCAGCCAGCAGAATCAGGAGTAGGAAAGAAGACGGAACGGCACCCAGCGGCCCAGCCACATCGATGCTCAGCCCCACGGACACGGGAGCGGGCAGCTGGCCCCTGGAGCACGCTCACCTTCGTTCTCCCCGCTGGGCTTGATGCCTTTGGAAGGACTCTCTGTGCCTTCCGGGGTGTCTTCCGGGCCTCTCTCTTCCTCCTCATCCTCCCCAACGTTCTTATAGTTGGGCCTCTTCTGCAGCCTCTTTTTTCCCTTCTGTTTATTAATCTCTAGCGAGCGCTCCAAGGTCTCAGAAGGTTTAATGAAGCACCTGATGCCCGTCTTGATCTGAAACATCAGCGTAAACAAAGCCAGAAGAAACTCAGTCCCGTGACCTTTCCAACGAAATGAACAGGCCAGGCTTCGCATGGAGGAGAGTCACTGGTTTTCCCTGCTCTTTTAGAAGAAGTGCCAAGCACCCTTCCTGTTTCCAAAATACAGTCTCTCCACGGCTTATTCCTTCTCTGTAGCCCCTGGCAAGAACCGGGCTAGGAAAAGGGATCCCAACAACTCTATGCTGCTACACGACAGGGATTCATTCTATTGATCTGATGAAACCATCTGGCCCACAAAACCTCAATTAAATTAGTCAGCATTTAAGGGGCCACAAACCTCTTGTGGAGGCGGGGAAGGACCTGCAAAATACTGACACAGTCCCCTCTTTGGAGCTTTTTATTGTTACATGGGAGGGCAGTAAATTCAACGATACTCTTCAAGGAAAGGGTTGCAACAATAATCAGAAACTGCTGGTCTCACCAACTACTATAAACCTACACCGGTTTATTCCATATCAAGAATCTTAGTGGATGCGAGCTAAGGGGATTATTCAAACCCCACCTCGCAATAATATTTCTTCTGATTCATGAAAATTCAGTCAATCCCTAACCGAGTCACAATACTAACTATAAATGGCATCTTCTTTCTTGTAAATGTGAGTGGCTAGCAAGTGCTTGAAATGACTTAATTCTTGCTCCACAGTGGTTCACCAAACACCAAAAGCAGTTTTAAGGGTACAGTCCAGGCAACCTCCATTCTTTCTTGCGAATGAAAGGCAACATTTATAGTCAGGAGAAGAGAGAAGACAGATTGAGATCACAGTTGGACAAAGCTCTCACCCTAGAAAAAGAGGTCTCACTGTTATGGTTTTTAAAGATTTAACTATACTATTCTTTCAGTCCCAGTGTGCATTTATTCATGGGTACACATCACATATTTCCTAACTCTACTTAGTTTGGTACAGTGTTTCAGCTGAGACCAAGAAGCAAATCATGCAGAGATGAATATTTATCATTGGTTATCTAGTTGGGTGAGACTGTTTACTCAATTATGTACATTTAAATTTAGGCTGGAACATCTGCTTGATAAGCCAAACCTTTCCAGGCCCCCCTTGGGGTTACAGGAAGGAGCGAAAGTAGGTTAAGCCCAAGCAGAGAGCAGCAGGAACAAGCCACATCCGATTCACAGGCAGGAAGCAAAGCAAAACCAGTTCAAAGGAGGGAAGGCAAGTGCTGAATGTGACTTTTGGTCCCTCTCATGCACGGTGTAATGCAAAGGTGCATGACTCACCAACCCCAGACAGCTAGGAGACCACCCTCCCCTGGCACTTCCCACTGCTGGAAACACAAGCACACTTCTCGGATTTGAAAACTGTCTCATAGCAAGAGAAGCACCTTCCTCCAGACCACTGATACTTTGAAAAAAAGAGTGGGTGTGTTATGGGGGCTGATCACAAAGCCCACCTCTCATCTCACCAAGATATGCAAAGACCGGGGGGGGGGGGACAAACTGCACACTGCTTCCCAATTTTCTCAATCACTCTGAGAAATAAACGTTTTCTCTACCACTTGCTACCCCCATTTCTTTTTATCTAAAGACGCCATGGCTTGAACCTAAGACCTTCTGCCTACTAGTATCAGCATATTCTGTGGTACCACCTACATAGGGCAACCAAAATTAAACCAGAAATGCCCAGTCATCGCTGCCATCTGAGTTGCTTCTATGAAGCAGGCAGTGATTCTCCCAAGGGGCAACACAGAGGCATTTGAATGTCCCACCTTCTTTCTGCTCTGCTCCACCATTTGCCTTATTGCCATCAATACTGGACAGGGCTACTCTTTCCTTCTGTCTTTGTTTCATTTCTCTCCCCCCTCCAGTGAGGGAGGGGCTCCTTTAAACCTACTGGTATTACCATATCCAACCCCACCACTTGTAGAGGTTGTCATCAAGGCAAACTACACTTACCAGCCCTTCTCCCTGCCTTCACTTGAGAAGCTTCTATTACTGGGGGGAAAGGACCAACTGCTTTTTTGAGAGTTGTAGGACAGCTGGCCTACACGTGCTTGTTTCAGTGTGACACGAGGTCTGCTTAAACTGAGCTAGGCGTGTTTCTTCCACCTAGGGATTTTCAGTGACTGTTCCCAGGGCTTTATGAACTCACCACTATCTTACTTAATAAATGCTATGAGTTATATGATATTGATTGCTGGCCATAATGCAGGCAGAAAGTAATAATGCAAGATTAGCTCTTGGCCATGTCTACCTTTTCAGGGATTAAACTTACATAGAAAAACCACTAAAATAACATCCACTCTTGTTACAACCCACTGCTAGTAATTCATCCTTTCTCACATACTTAAACAAACAAAAAAAAACTTAAGACCAAGAAATTCTGCAAAATACATTCAGTGGAAGTCAAACTGCTAGAGCAGAAAAAGACGACAAGCTTCTGACCACAGATTTCCCAGTAACAGAACCCACTGAACAAAAAATGGGCAAAACCCAGAATGAGTCTGCATGCTCTAAAGACAAGATCATTTTCATGTGCAACAGCTCTTTTTATCTTTTAACTTGCATGCGAGATCGGGTCAACCTTCTGACTTCTAAAAAAATGCCAAGATAAAGAGTCCTGAATACAAGTACCCCCAAACAACACTTCAGATGCCAGGCACTGGAGGTCAAGCAGATCATCTAACAGCCCCATTCTTGCCAAACAAGCAAAGAAGGTGTCTCATGGTTGACAGATGTTTTTCATACTTACGGAGCTTTTCTGGACATCCTGCTCTGCTTTTGAAAAAAAAACAGAGAGGTCCCCATTCAGAATGACTTCAGCCAATGAATTCACCAGGGGTGCATAATGTATAATTAGGAAAACCTGTGGGTGGAGGCAGAGAAGCAGAAAACTGTTAGGGGGGAGACCTATAGATGAGACGCAGATTAATTTCCCATTTATTTTGTCATTTTCCTTTCCTCTACAGTAATTTCTTTAGGCTGATTTCACCACATGATAATCCTTTAAAGTGCGTGGGAGAGAGGGGGACAGAAGGAAACTTCTCATATCTGACTGTTTCCTGACATTGTGCCGAAGGGTTAGCGGTCTTCCATAGCGAGGAATGTGGTTTGTAACCCAGTTCTAACTAATCCAGGAGTTCTCACCCCCATCATCACAATACCACATTCAGCCTGTTTGCCTCGGCTCTTCACCGAGGCCACAACCCTGGCCCCTTCCCTGGACGGTTTTCCACCGTCCTTCCCCATCCCATCTCACTACTGTCAAATGTCCAACTTCGTCCTTTTCCCTCTCCCTGGCTAGTTTCATCACAGTTGCTATATAATTGTTAAAAAGCAGAAGCGATCTTCTATTGAATTCTTAATACAGTATCTAGAGTCAGCACTGGATCATTAACACTTACTTGTGACAACAGATACAGAGAAACCTGGAGACTTATTCTCGGCCGTTCTGCAGCCTAAGAAGGAAACAATTAAGAAATTGTGGAACAGTTAACGGGCAGCATTCTCTTTCACTTTTGAATTACACATGTTAAAATCCCACAGGTCACAACGGAGAAGGAAAAATGTCTGCTATGACCTCACCAGCGCTTCCACGTTTCTAAAACAGAAGAATTACTCAAGGATATAAAGGGTTGGAAGGAATCATGGGAATTTGGATAAAGTCCTCCTTTTGTCTACAGGGAACAGAGCCAAGTGCCACAAGTGATTAAAACCAAGTGCAAGTTAGTGTGACTATTTAAAGCCATGCTTCTTCAGTCACGGAAAGGAACTCTAAATAAAAAGCTTTGAAAGTTTCCAGAAGTACTCAAGGAAATTTTTTTTAGGACCAAACACACCTCTATATTCTGTACCTCTATATTATAGACTAATGGAGCAATCAATCACACTGTCCTAATTCAATTGCACCGCTAGCTGGTTGCTGACCCTAAGTCTGAACACATGTTGCCTCCTTGATGTCCTCAGAGACAATTAAGAGAACTGCCTTCCTGAACGAGAGGCTTTGTATTTCCTCAGAGAAAAGGCCAAGTGTAAATATAAGGAAGAAAGGCGTGAGCTGCTAACAAATGTAGAGCCCTTCTCTATCGCTTGCACCCAGCATCAATAAATCCCGGGAACCAGCGGCCCACAGTGGTAGGACCTGCAAGTGAATGCTTCCGACAATCCAGCTAGAACAAAAAGACAGCCCTGAAGGTTGAATCAGAGCCCCTGATGTCACTTCAGTGGCCGCTAACAAGATGATTAGCCAACGTAAGCCACAGAATGATTCAGTGTGTATTGCTACGTCAGGAGGAATTTAGAAATCTTTCTTATGAAAGGACTTAGCTGCCCTTTCTCACTGTTTCAGCTGAACTGTATTCTGTTTATGGCCCAATGTCATGACCTCACTTTCTCCTTCATCTTCATCCCTGACAGGAAAACAGTGACCCCGCTGCCTTTCTTGTAAATAGGGGTGAGAAGAAGCCCATGTGAATTGGAGTGTCTCTCTCTCTCTCTCGTGAACTGCACAAGGTTAATGATATAAATGATAATTACTTTTAATAAGATAACACGGTTTCAGTTTTGTGACTCACTGAAAGGCTCTTTCTGCTGCATTGTTTCAGAAAGGTTTCACGAGGCAGCCGAACAGTTTGCTTCTTGCTAGAGCTACCTCAAGGAAGGAGGAGACGCTCCAGGCAGTAACCCTCACCTTGTCCTGATTGACTAAGGAGTACACGTAGAGGGGCAAGAAGAGGCTATTCAGCAAGTGGTCTGTCAGCACATCATTCAAGAATTCACAGTTAATAATTAGGATATCGTTCAGGTAATGAAGGTGATCCAGGTGCTCGGCTACAAGGTCACTCAGTTTCCCCCTATTTCTGTGCCTGCCAAAAAAAAAGAAAAGAAAAAAGAGCACACTAAATATGCAGTCATGGCCCCACCCCGCCCCGCCCCAGAAAAACTGAGCCCCACTAATAAGAAAGGCTCACTCCTCATCTGTCTGAACGCAGTTGTCCAGCTCTATCACGTGGCTTCCAATGAACCAGACGAGGTTGGAGAAGTAAGGGACAGCCGTCTTGTCTCGAATATAGTGCAGCATGGCCCGGTTGTCCACTGAAGGCAAACCTTCTGTTACATTCAAGTATATATTTCCCCCCAAACACTTGAAAACGAATCCCTTCCTCTAACTAGCCTTTGGCAACCTATGCCAAAATCAATTCCATTTCATGCTTAATTTTCCATCACAGTTTTTTGGGAGAGCCCAGCCTCGAGAGATTAAACTAAAACGTTATAAAAATGCTGAGAACAGCTGAAAACTACCATCGCTGAGAAACACCTCGCTTTCTTTCTAGGGAGCTGGGTAACAGTAAAGGATAAATGTACGATGGTGGGAAAATCAATCGGCAGACTTACATGACACTGTTTTAAGGGACACGGGATGCATCAGTGAAGAAAGGACGAGAGGAGACAAGAGAGACAACATGGTTAGCAGGGTTAGGAACTCCAGAGAGGTCAGTAGCTAAAGCAGGAAGCATCTAGGCTAGAAGAGATGAGTTAGAAACAGGTCGCGGTCGAAAAACTTCCTGTCCCAAGGCGGGCCACCACAGGGACCCTCCCCTCCACTGGACCTCCTGGGGCAGGGCGGTGACCAAGACTGGGCTAGCCCTTCCATCCTTCATAAACTCTTCAGAAGCCCTGTTTCTAAGGACAGCAGAAACTCTGCGCGTGTTCAAGTACAATATTTGGAGTGGGTGAGCAAAACCACTCTTTTTGAAGAGGCCCAGCTCCAATTTACAGGTTTCTTTACATGAGGGACAGGCAAATCCCGTGGCACTCCCTCTCCTTTGTTGCAGGATTCCATAGATTCTGGACACCAGCTTTAAATGGGCATGAAAGCCACCCCAGAAAGTATTTGCAGCTTAATAACTTCTTCTGCCTCTAATTTCTGGATTCCTATTGCATAACGAAGAGACGCATAGCCCCTATTTCCCACAACAGAAAATATCTGGCCGAGTTCTACGCTGTAGCATGCTGACATCTTCTTCACTGATGAACAAGAGTGCATATGAGTGAGAGAGAGAGAGAAGTGGTGGGGGGGGGAAGAGGCTATAAATATTCCAAGAAACTGCTTTTGGTTCTGATCAAGCAACTTAGTGTTTCTCACTTTCACATTCTCAAGAAAAATTCCTCTGAAAGTGCAAACTTCATACCAAGCGTGACCTCTAGTGGCAACTCCTGAGTATTCTCTTCTGGGCAGAACTTCAGTTTCCACTGCTTCCTCCCGGCTGAGATGAAAGCAGTGATTTAAAATAACCGTTCTGGAAATCAAAGCTTCTGACAAGAGTGTAATGTTACTCGCTAGGTCGAACTGGGTTCGGCCCTGTCTAACTTTTTCCTGATAAACCCCGGAAGTCCCAGCTCCTTCTTCAAACAAGGGTGAGGTGCTGAAACTACCCAAGAGAACGCGTACCTTTGTAGACGTTTAACGTGATGGTTCTAACTGCAATCCTGACCATGCTTTCTGGGTGGTTGAAGAATTTAATGGCCTCGGTGTATAAGGCAAAATCATTGGTATGCTGAGAAAGAAGACAGTGAAGACTATGGATTATACGTCTTACACGTTTTTATTACGCCCTTTCAGACCCTCTGCTGCTAGAGCACATCCCGGGGTTTCAGGAAAACAAGAGGCCCAGCATATAAGCTTTTGGACAGAATTTTAAAAGATCCTCCCCCAGGCTGGGTCCCTCCAGATGTTCTCAATTGCAACGCCCATCAGCGCTGATGAGAAGGCAAGTAATTAGGAGTGGCAGTCCAAAAGATCTTGTGAGGCTCAGCTTAGGAAACGTAGTTCGAGAGCTGTCCTTTTCAACCTTGGCAACTTTAAGATGGGTGGACTTCACTTCCCAGAATCCCCCAGCCAGAATGTCCACCCATCTTAAATGCCAAGGTTGAAAAAAACAGCTGTAGAGATAAGCACATGAAGTGGGCTTAACAAAATGGACCGGGCAATAAACTATGGGACACTAAAGGCAAGTTCTTCTTCACTTCCGAGCCGTGAGTGGAAGCAGCCCGGGCTACCAATGACCAGACCGGCAACCACAGAAAGAACCGTCCTGCTGGAATTCCTGGAAGGAGCAGCGGCAGGCTGAAAAGGCAGGCACAAGGTCTGCCCCGGGACAACGGTTCTGCCAGAAGCCTCTTCCTGAGGAAGGTGCGGCCTGTCTCTAAGGAGAGCCCCACAGCATCTATAGGTCAGCAGAACTGGTGCTGAGAAAAGGCAACAGCATGGACTGGAAATAAAGATCTACGGAAGTCATTCTGCAACTTCAGCGATTAGATTGCAGAACATGGGGAGAATACGATCTGGCTGATTTACAAATTGCCTTCTGCCCTTCCACAAATGAATTACTGAAAGCAAACTCTAGATATTGGGCAATATAGAACTATGATAAAAAAAAACAAATAATAGTTTTGATTCTTGATAATGCTGCCTGCATATTTATGCATGTTTTCCTTCTTTACTTTTTCTCATTGATGATCTTTTTAAATATTCAGAGATTTGAAATAAACAATTCAGGCACAAAAATAATCACATTCGCTTCTCAAGTCTTTTTACATATGGCAGCAATATATAAATTGCCTTCTTTTTAATATTACATAAACCCTCTCTCCAGAAAATATTTAACCTACTCTCAACAATAAGGATTTACTGTCACTTGAAAACTGCATTTTATTTCCAACCTGAGACTCACCTCATTGTAAAAAAAGTGAACAGTGTGGTTATTGAGTTTCAGAGAAAGCGTTTTTAAGAATGAAATATAGTATGCCATGATTTCTTCATCTGAGAAGTCAAATTTGTGCACGATGATAGAATTCACATAGTTGTTAGACAGTAAATAGTCTGAGGAAAAAATACAGATGCAATTAGTATAAAAATTTAACATTTAGAAGGATGTTTAAAAAACATCTTTATGATTTATATTGTAGGTCTTTTTGCAAAATTTGTGTCTCCCCCTGGAGAGAGAGACCACTCGGCCTAACAAATACAACTTAATAAAATTAAGCAGTCAAAGAGACCTGTATGTTGAAGAATATTAACCATTTCAAATCTCAATTTATTTAATATATTTACTTGAAACATTTTATAGCGCTTTTCATTTCGTTTAGAATGAGTAGGACTTTTTGCATCCCAACATAACCTAACTGTACTAAAAAGAGAAAAAATATATCTTTGATGCAAGTCTCAATTTCCACAATCTTCAGGACAAAAATCAAGAACCGTAGCTACATGCGTAGCTTGTGTAGTAAGTGGCCTTTCAACAAAACTGTTACTTTGTGTGAAGTGACAAGAAATGTGCATACTTACAAAGAGATGTTTCGTGACTAATGTTCTCAAAGAGGATATTTAAAGTCTGCAGAAGCTGCACACACACGTAACGGCCCGACTTCTGACGCAGAATGTTCAGAAAGAACACAAACATGTTCTTCTCCAAGAAAAAGCTAGAATGCCAAGCATTGTTACCAATTTACTATATCTTATTGAAGAAATTTCATATAAACGCTTATTGGTAGAACAACGTAATACTGGTGAAGAGAGTAATAATTACATTTTAACAAGCATGAACAGAACTGCATTGATATATCTATTTATTAGCTTTTTAGGCCACTGCAGTCAATGACTCTCAGCAATTTACAGAAAATAAAACATCCATGGTACAATAACATAAATACAAATAATGAAAAAAGCATTCATCATTAACTTAAAACTGGAGCAACATACATAATTTATCTCTTTCACATTATTACTGTACAGGAAAACGCTGCCTTTTTTTGACAAAAATAAATGACTTTGAACAGCAGACCTCATAGCTGAAATACTTGTCTACTTTTTGAACATCCCTGCTATTTTCCTATCCCTTATTTTTGCAATGACTAGAACAAAAAAGTACAGGTAGTCCTTGACTTACGAACGTTCGCTTAATGACCGTTCAAAGTTATGATGCCACTGAACAAAGTCACTTACAACAGGTCCTCACGCTTACAACTGTTGCAGTGTCCCCATGGTCACGTGATCAAAATTCAGGTGCTTGACAACTGGCAAGTATTTATGACAGTTACAGCATCCTGGGTTCACGCGATTGCCATTTGCGACCTTCCCAGGGAGCTTCCAACAAGCAAAGTCAATGGGGGAAGCTGGATTCGCTTAACCACTGCATGATTCGCTTAACAATCGCAGTGATTCACTTAAACCACGGCAAGAAAGGTCATAAAATCAGGCATGCCTCACTTAATGACTGCATTGCTTAGTGACGGAAGTTCCAGTCCCAATTGTGGTCATAAGTCGAGGACTACCTGTAATAACACAAAAGGCTCTTTTTTGGAATTAATGTGATGTTTAAAAAGGATACATGGTATAGTTCTCTCTGGAATCAAAGCCACTTTAGAGGGTACCGAAAAGATCTGCCAGGAGGTACCAGGGGAGCTGGTGCCCAAAGCAGAGTATCCAAATGGAACCATCCATTCTAATTCTGATTCCTTGGCATTAAGCACCATGAATTGAATGGGACTCATTTTCTAAGCAAAGGAAGTTGCATCCCTGTCCTATTTTCTCTCTTCTGTTGGTTGGTTAACATTGTACAGTCTATATTTTTTAAAGCAAAATCATACAAGCTCTTACTCAAACACCGAACTGTCATTTTGATCTCCCCATATCAGGATCTCTGTTATTGATCGAATGGTTTCCACCAACAGGTTGCGGTTATGGTCAGTCACAGTGGTATTTTTGGTCAGAACATGATACATATATCTGAAAGACAAGAAAAGAGGGTCAAGTTGGGCCTTCCAAACCTGGCATTCACAGGCAAATGTTCTTGCATGGGATTATGAATGTTGAAGGTGGGAGAATCTGTGGCTCTTTGGAACCATTGGAGAAGCAATCCAAATACTCTTATCTTTTTGTCTCTTCTTTACATTTGTTAATTTTTCTCGGGTTTAGCATATGCCACCCTGTAGTCAAGTTCTCTGGCACCCAGAGCATCCCCTGTGCTTCCTTCTCTTTTACCAGGCATTTTCTCTCCAGAAAAGGCAATCAAGGACTCAACCAGAACCGTTTTCCAGCTAGAGAGACAAGAGGAAACTCCTAGGAAGCCAGCAAGTACCAAAGTGTGCCCTGCAGATGCAAATAAGTCACAACTAGCTTGAACTATACATTCGTTTTATACAAACTATTCATTTATGGTTTTCTATACATTTGTTTTATACAAACTGTTCATTTATGGTTTTAGGGAATTATGAAATCTACGAAAATAAACAAACCACAGAATGTGTTTCAGTACATAGTTTAAGCTTGGAATACTATGTAATGTGCACCTCAAGAAATTCCTACAGGCATGGAATGTGACAGAAAACAATTTCCAAGATGATCAAGGGACCTGACAAAATACCTTAGCAGAATTTGTGGCTTTTTATCGGTAAAGAATAAAGCATAATCTGTCAGGCCTCTAATTATGCTTAAGTGGAAAAAGTGGTACAAAAAACTTTTTTTTTCATTTTCAGAATTCTGAAAGAATAATCCAATAAAGCTGAAAGGAAGCAATTCTTACTCGCATAATGAAATTGTCAGATTCACCACCAGAAACCTGCTTTGGTATCCTTTATAGTAAAAAGCGGAATAAGAATATAGCACTGACCACCAATCTGGACACCTTTAGAAGAAAATTACATAAATGCACAGCAGTTAAAACTGCTGGTCACGATGACTATGTGTTACCTTGGAAAGACACACGGCTTGTCTCTCCCTACCAAATGCAACGACCGGTCAGAGGGAGGGAGGGAGGGGGCTGTCAGTTCATCTTTGTTTAGAGCAGTGTTTCTCAACCTTGGTAACTTTAAGACACGTGGACTTCAACTCCCAGAATTCCCCAGCCAGCCTTCCCAACTGGTTTAGAGGCCCCCTTCCCAGCAGGGAACTGACTGTTGAAAGATAATCCTAGCCTAAAGGGGCCTTTGTCTGATCCAGCATAGGTCTTGTGATCTTATGCTCCCCTGACTGGGTGAGATGGAAGCCTTCCCCAACATGATGCCTCCAGACACACTGGATTACAATTCTAATAGTTCCCACTCAGCACACCAGCTGGAGTGTTAAGAGGAAAGACTGTTTTATGGTCGTTTGGGCAAATTACCTAGTTTATCTTCTCCACAGAGAGTGTGTTATTTTCTATAGGACTAATACTATGCCAATAAGCTGAGAAAAACAGATGCAGAATTTTCTTTTGATACACAGCTTGTCTGTTATTAGACTCACGCTGTTTTGCATTTTCCTGTTCACCATCCAGTCTATAAACATTGTGAAACACACACATACGACAGCACCAAGTAACGCCTTTTAATCAGACTTAAGTACATCTCCTGCAGCACTAAGCAGGTGATATTTTTAGCCTTTTCTATTGCAACTAAACTTACAATTTCCTGTTTGTTGTTACAATCACAACAAAGCAGAGCAGAGCTTAGGTGCTTTACGCATGCTTGCAAAATGTTTACTGTTACAGAGATGGACAAAATCATAAGCTAAATTAGCCAGCACTTTTTGTTAAATGCTGCTGTTGAAGTCAGCAAAAGGGTTACTGGAGAACAGCCCGGTCAGGTCAGGCCAATTCTGGGAACTGAAGTCCCCACATCTTGAAGTTGCCGAGGTTGAGAAATCCTGCGCTAGAGCAGGGCTCCTCAAAGTGGTCCATATCGACCTCAAAGGGGTAGATAAGCATCTGGGGATCAATAGGTGGTTGATACACAAGGCTGATCGGGGTCAATTAATCTTTTGGGGGCTCTGCAGAGCTCCACGCCAGACGTGAAGGTGAGGCGGCCGGCAGCGAGACAGCGTTAGCCAGGGCTGGTCAGCCACCAGCGAGAGCAGCCTTGTCTCGTCTTATTATTTTTTGTAGTAGGTACTACTAAAGCGGCATTAAATTATTTTCATATAATAGATGTTTGGGGATTGATGAGCCATCTGAAACTTGACAAAGGGGTCCATGAGCTGAAGAGTTTGGGGACAGCTGCTCTGGAGGAAGGGCTGGGGAATGCTGGGAGTTGAAGTCCACCCACCTTGAAGTCTCTGGTCTCTGACAGTTTAACTCGGTGTTTTCTCCACCTTGGCCGCTTGAAGAGGGGTAGACTTCAACTCCCAGAGCTCCCCAGCCTGCGTGGCCGCCTGGGGAACTCTGGGAGTCGAAGTCTTCCCATCTTGAAGGGGCCGAGGCTGAGACCACCCGCCGAGAGGAAGCCTTTCCGGAGGCCCTGGTGCCTCTGC